GAAACATGCCTCACTTTGTTACTCTTCTCCTGAGGGCTCCATATTTGCATGTCACAAAGGGTAGGGCCATGTAGGGGTAGCCATGGCAGGCCTGAGTCTGTGACTTCGGGAGGACAACGTTTACTTTTTGGTTAGATGACCACGCACTGTTCCCATTTCTGGCAGTTCAAGAGGGGAAAATCCAGGGCTACTCTGGTCGCATCTCTGGGAAAAGGAGGCCGAGCATTGTGATAGCCATCCAATGGTCCAGTTCGCCAGCTGCAGATTCTGTTTATTGCCACTGCTGACAAGTGTCAGGCCATCAGCAGACCACCCTGCAGGCCTTGTGTACACCAGCGCAGGTCAAGGTCGCTTTTGCATACCCTGGTAGTTTAAGGGGTTCCATAGAGTATATGCATCATTATGCGTTAATGCATCCCTCATCCTTGCACATGTTCTTTTTGCCTTGTGAGCAAAACTCAGATACATCATGAAGTTTATACCAGGGTTAATATCAGGTGGCACACACACCAAATGGGCTTGTAGAGAATTTTATAACCTTTGCATTACCAACTTGCCATGTACTATTACCTGAGTTCTACCCCTGTCCATATACATTGAGGGACTCCTCCCTCTCGTAAGCCTCTCTTCACACTTCTGAAACTCTCCCTTCCATGTATGACAATTGGAGGCGTTGCAGGTTGATGATTGCATGCCTGCCGTGCTCTTCGCTTATTTGTTTATGTTCTAGAATCTAGATGTATTTCCCAGATGTTGGGTGCTCCTTCCGAACTGTATGGTGCTTAGACTGCTTATAGGCCTGATAGGCACTGGTTACTGTTGAATGACCTGTCTGTTGCATGGCCTAGCATCTAGCACTTACAATCCTTATCTTTTATGGAGGCCGTCTACACGTGTTCACCTCCTGGAAGGATACTCTGAGACCGTTACAATTTGGGTCTGTTACAATTTAGGTAACTTTCATTAAAAGTGGACCCAACCGTCTGGCCAAAGACAGAACAAGGCCTTACAGAAACCGTTGCGAAACTCAGGGCATAACTTGTCAATGAAGAAACAGAAGCCAATTTCAACTGGTGGCCGGCAGGATCTCATAAACCTTCCAGCCTCTTTGTGCAAGCAGTCATCGTAACGGGACACAGGCTTACAACTGTCTTGAAGCATGTGCATCAGCGTGACAGCTCCTTTTGTAAAACTGTTCTGATTTCTGTGCCACACAGCTCTGTCCCGATGGAGCACTTTCCAAGCTTTGCTGAGCCAAAATTACAAACTGATAGAGTCCTAAAAAGAAAGGATGCAGAGTGTGTACATTGCTCTCTCCAGAACACCCGGAAATGAAGAGATCTGCAGCTTCATAGGTTGAAGGCTATGGAGACGAGAGATATGATTATGCTTTCTCACATCTCCCCTACCACTCACCTGACCAGTTGGCATATATGTGCACTTGTGGTGCAGTGGAGCCCAATTCTCCACAACTGGTGACTGAGCTGAGAATCAAGTGGTCGGGGGTTTAGGCAGTTCTTCATATAACTGATAGAATCTCTCTCTCTCTCTCTCTCTCTCTCTCTCTCTCTCTCTCTCTCTCTCTCTCTCTCTCTCTCTCTCTCT